CCAGCACCCTTACACACACAACACCCTCAAACCACCCTCATGCAGCACACACACAGCAGTGTATGTGTGTGTGTGTATATATATATATATATATATATATACACATATATACACGCGGTGTGTGTTTGTGCTTTAGGGTGCACATGCTAATGCAATAGGCTGCGCACACCTATGGTGGAGGCTGTGATTGCATGCCAGTGAGTTGGGTGTTGGGAGTGGGGAGTGAGGGGGGCATGGTCCAGGGGGCCCAAGCAAATGCTTGCCCAGGATCCAATCACTATTAAAGACGGCCCTGGATAAGATTGCAGCTATAAGCATACTTTCAGATAATGACATTATTTTAAAATAAAACTTAAAGCAAGTGTCTGGGAATACTGAACAATAGCAGCTGTTGTATTAACTGGTCCAGAAATCAGAAGTAAAACTATATTCTGGCTTGTATTTGCATTTTTTATTTTATTTTTTAAATAAAAATATATTTAACATAAAACACATTTTATACATCACTTCTTAATGCAGAATTTTTTTAATAACAGAAAATAAAAAAACTCTAAACAGTAAATACACCAGATATCTCAAACGCCATTCCCATAGAGTTGATAAACTACAACTCCCATGATTTTCTTCTGCTTTCAAAGAACTCTGGAAATTTGAAGCCATTGAGGTTGAACTCTCTGATCCAGACTTTTACTTTTTATATTGTATGATTATTTTGTACATATATACATTGGCTCCTGTAATATGCTCATTGTATGATTAACAGTTTCGAATACCGTAGTAAAGGACACATGCCTAATTATAATAAAATAAACTGATATTGGTTGACTTTAACAATTCAACTTTAAATGATGGAAACATGGTTGATTGCTAAAATCCAGCAGTCACAATTGTGTCTCTGTTCTTGCTAATTAGTTTATTCATGATTTAATGCAAAACTAGGAAAGTTTTAGTTAGAAAAGCTCTCAAACAATGACTGTTCCTCATAAAGCGCCCAATAAATAGAAAACATATGCTCAGTTTGTTTTAATTAACACCTTTTAAGTTAAAGGTTCTCTAAATGGGTGCTTCAAAGGTATTCATGTATCCATCACAGCATATTATACCATTATAGCATTCAAGGGGGCATAATTAAATCCCCTAATCAGATATTTGCAATTTGAATAGATTGGCTAATGTACGATGACTAAGTTTTTCACATGCTTTCATATTTTGGATCAAACTTTTAAAATATTTTTTTCAAAATATTCAAATATAAAACAAAAAACAAATATATTATATAAAAAAGATATATTAAACATATCAAAATATTAAACAATAAAAAAAAATTTAAATCTTAAAAAATGTCTAAAGTTTATCGAAAAATATTAAATCATTTCACAAGCTTGTTTATCAGTGGCCTTGATTCAATAACCTTTGCAAATAAATGAACAAATACATTTTTTAAAAGCTCTGTCTATGAAAATTCCTAGAGCCTTTAACGGTGACTTCTATAGCTATATCGCTTGGAAAGTTTTTATAATCATAGTAAATCATTTTGAAGGCTTATTAAATCAAGGCCAATATTAAATTAAGGTCTACGTTATTTCCTTTCTACCTGGAATGTATAATACAAATAATAACAACTATAATTCATTAATAACAGCTTGAATATTGAAAATGTATATAAAACATTTTTTTGACAGGAGCTTCATTTAATAGCATTTGTAATAAAATTGAAAAGCTTCTGGAATGCTGACAACTTAGTAAAATCAAAACAATTCAAATATTTTATTTTTTTAAACTTTAAAAACTATGACAGATGAAAGAGAAAATGCTTAGGTCTGAGACATAGTCAATGAATTGAAGTAACTAAGTATCCTCTTAACTATATAACGAACATACCAATGATGACAATAAGAATGAATGTGTTACCCAAGTGACTATTCAGTATTATTAGGCCTACAACAAACTGACCTGCACACGAGAGCATCTTACAAACTTTAACTCATTGCATGCAAAGTCAAGTTACCGAGGAACACTGACCGAGGTCATGTTCCCATACACCTAGCTGCACACACATACATACAGGGCCGTACTGGGGACACAAAGCAGCCCTGGAAAAAAATCCATGCCAGCCCCATAAGTCATTGTGCCATGTATTGTCACTTGTGATATGTAAGGCTATGTAAATAGATACAGATAGCCTTACATATTATATATATTAAATGGTTTACTCTTACATATTATTTATATTACTTGGTTTACTCTGAAAGGACCAATATTTTATATTTCTTTTTCTAATATAAAATATTGGTCCTTTCAGAGCAAAACATTTAATTATACAGTAAGCATACTCACATGCAGACACAGACAATCTCACTGACACACACAAGCTCATTAATACACAGCCTGATAGAAAGACAAACAATCTCACTGTTATACATAAGCTCATTGAAATAAAAACACAAACTCACAGATGCACACAAATAGGCTCATTGACAGACAATCTTACTGACACACACAGACAAGCTTATTGGTATACACACAAACGTAGTACATACAAACTCTGACACGAACAAGCTTACTACAGACAAGCTCACTGTCACACACAAGCTCACTACAGACAAGCTCACTGTCACACACATCAACACACAAACATGCTCACTGACACACACGCTTAATACAGACAAGCTCACACACACACACACGTTCACTACAGAAAAGCTCACTGATACACACATGCTTCCCACAGAGAAGTTTACTGACACACACACACACAAGCTCACTCACTAGCAGGCACACACACACACACACACACACAAGCTCACTCACTAGCAGGCACATACACACATGCTCACTAGCAGGCACACACACACAAGCTCACTCACTAGCAGGTACACACACACAAGCTCACTCACTAGCAGGCACACACACACAAGCTCACTCACTAGCAGGTACACACACACAAGCTCACTCACTAGCAGACACACACACACAAGCTCACTCGCTTGCAGGCACACACACGCAAGCTCACTAACTAACAGACACACACAGAAGCTCACTCACTAACAGGCACACACACAAGCTCACTCACTAGCAGGCACACACAAATACACACACAAGTTCACCACTAGCAGACTCACTCACTAGCAGGCACACACACACACAAACACACATAAGCTCACTCACTAGCAGGCCCACACACACAGAAGCTCACTCACTAGCAGACACACACAGACAAGCTCACTCACTAGCAGGCACACACATATAACACACAGGCTCACTCACTAGCAGGCACAGCCACACAATCACTGTCATGGCTGAAGCTTACCTGGCACTGGTAGGTAAGTTACCATTTTGTAGCTTCTTCCTTCCAGCGAGGTCACCAACATGTGGGGGTGGGGCTTGTGTGTGGGAGGCAGAGCTATCTTTTGATAGGTGGGGCTTGTGTACAGGGGCGGGGCATGCAACCGAAATTTATGTCAATTTTGAAGGGAGACTGACAGGTCTCCCTCCTTCCGCCAGCAGCCCCCAGCTCCTCCCTCATTACTCCCCTCATAGGCTGGTAGAGTCCGAGGGGGAAATATTTAAATTAAATGAGTCTAATGATCAGGGCTGTCAGCCTGACCCCAGGGTGCCCCCACCTGGAAATTTCCTGGTATTCCGGTGAGCCAGTCCGGCCCTGCCTACACACTTGCACCGATCCATACTCCCATACAGTGGCGTACACATGACCCATGGGGCCCGGTGCGAAAATTGATCTGTGGGTCCGCACACCCCCTCCTGCGACAGCGGTATGTATGCCAGTGCATGCAGATACACATACACTTAAAAGGACCACTACAGACACCCAGATCGCATCAGCTCAAAAAAGTGGTCAGGGTGCCAGGTCCCTCTAGTTTTAACCCTGTAGCTGAAAACATAGCAGTTTCAGAGAAACTGCTATGTTTCACTGAGGGTTAATCCAGCCTCTAGTGGCTGTCTCATTGACAGCCGCTAGAGGCGCTTCTGTGATTCTCACTGTGATTTTCAGTGAAGACGCTGGACGTCCATAGGAAAGCATTGAGTAATGGTGATTGTATGTGGAAATCTAAGATGCAGATACGATATCCATCAATCACTCAATCACACAAGTATTTTGGGGAAATTGGTGTATTGGAATATGATTGGTACAAAGTAAGATGACTGCTACTATTCAAGATCAAGAACTATTTCCATAGAAGAGTTAAAATGAACATAGATGTTTATAGTCTTCCTGAGCATTTACATTAGCACACAATTTACATTATAAGACATCACCTCAAGATTATAAGAAAGAGTCAGATTAGAGAAAATATGTACACCAATCAGCTACAACATTGAAACCTCATGTCTAATATCATGTATAAATCATTGAGTAATGCTTTCCTATGGGCGGCTTGAATGCGTGCGCTGCTCTTGCCGCGCATGCGCATTCAGAGCTGAGAGGCGGATCTGGGCGGATGGATCCCCAGCGCCAAAGGAGTCCGGCACTGGAGAAAGGTAAGTGCTGAAGGGGTTTTAAACACACTCACACACTCTCACGAACAGACGCATGCACACTAGCTAACAGACACACACATTTACTGACAGAGACACACTCAGTGACAGACATACCTACACACTCACTGACAGACAGACACACATACACACTCACAAAACATACACTCTCGCTGACAAACACACACTCACTAACAGACACCAAACACACTCAGTAACAGACACACACAGTAACACACTCACTGACACACAAACTAACACACACACTGACACTCACTAGCAGACACACACAACTAACATACACAGTAACACACACAAACTAACTCACTGACACTCAGTAGCAGGCACACACACAGTAACACACACTGACACAAAAACTATCATTAACACACACACACACACTCTAACACTAACAAACATACACACACACACACGTGTTTTTTTTTTAAATGTAATCCACCAGCCTCCCTACCTTTGGTGCTGCTGGGCGGCCAGTCCTGTGGGCGCGAGAGAGAGCATTCTCCCCTGAGCACTCTCTGCCCAGCTCCCTTGTGCTCCACTTACTGATTCCAGAGCCGGAATATGAAATCATATTCCGGCTCCGGCATCAGTGCGGTGCGCGAGGGAGCTGGGCAGAGAGCGCTCAGGGAACAATGCTCCCACGCACGCTGGCCAGCTCGCCCGCCGGTGACACCAGGGCCAGCCTCGGGGGGCCCTGAGGTGACCAGCTCCTGGGTCCCCCCAGGAGAAGAGGCTGGCCACACTGGCGTACATACCGGGTCGCAGGGAGGCCGGGCCCCCTGCGACCGCGGTATGTACGCCAGTGCTCCCAGACATACACATTCAGCTACATGAATCTATAAAAATGTCATAAAGAATCCCAACACAGATATATAGGTGAGGCAAATCTAAACTTCACCAAGTCATCTTTAATGAAGAACAATTATTTACAGCAAAAAATGCAATGCAATATATCATGGATTTTGTCCACATTAATTAACAGGACCTAATCGTGTGATAGAAACACTTATTGTCAGGAATAGAGTTACCCTAACAAACCTAAAAGGTAACAGTAAAGGTACACGTACCAGTCCTTAGAGTGGCCAGGTTAGTGCCTGAGACAGATATATGAAATATCTGCAAGCAGATAGAGAATAAACAAGAAACAAGCAGAGGTCAGGATTACAAAAATACACGTAATCGATAGGCAGGCCAAGATCAGGATAACAGAGAGCAAGAATAGTCAAACAAGCTGTGACGAAGTGCCCTTCGCCACTTGGTCCTGGAGAGGCCTATTTGCCAGCCTCCTCCCCTGTGACTATGACTCTTTCATGTATCTGGCTTTAAAGCCCCTAGTCTACCTTCAGACAGACTATTTATGTAGGCTGCTTTATTTATCTTGTGTTTTAGTCACCCTGTACCCATTATAGGTGCAGGGTGTGTGTAATGTAATTGTTTATAGTGTGTGTGTGTACTGTGTATTGTATTGCCTGCTCTCTTGTATTGCTGAGGTTTTGCTACCAACTAGGTGAGTTTGACTATGGAGCTTGTCTAGTGCCCTCTGTTGGTAGCAACAGCAATATGCACTACCTGAATTGCAAGACTGGTTCATTTGCATATTCGGGTAGATTTGCATATTGCTAATTCTGCAGGCAGGTGAGATATTTACTGTTAAATATTGTCTCCCCCCACCCCTTTAAAAATGTGCCATTGTGTTGTGATAAGTCATTGTGTGTTGCTTGATATGGTTTGACTGTTTGTGATTTTATTGAGGTTTCACAACAATGTTATTGTGGTGACCCTATTGGCTGGTCCCAAGGGAAATAAAGGTTTTGACAGTTCTTCTTGATCCGTCGAAATGTAGCCTTGTCTCGTTATTGGAGGGAGTTGTTATAATCACACTGGGGATTGCTATGCTCTGCATGCTCCCCTGAGCTTGAGTCACTTAGCTCTTTTAAGAGTTTGTTCCTGACACTCTCTCCTTGGAGGAGGGGTATTCACCACACAGTCCTGGATGCTGGAGGTTCATACAGGGTGGAAGGAAGAGTTCTTTCCGACACAGTCCTGGAGGACAGAAGCTGATCCAGGGTGGAAGGAAGACGGCGAGACTCCAGTCAAGATACGGCAGTTGCGGAGTCTGCGGTGGTTGCGGTGTCTGCTGCAGTACTTGGAGTCCTCAGGAAGCGCTAGGAGCATCCGTCAACGGAGGGTACTCGGTCGGAGTACAGGGAGCTCCGTTACATTGGTGGTAGCGGTGGGATGGCGTCCTAGTGCGAGGAGAAGCAGCTCGGAGACACTGGTATCGTATGAGAGGTTATTGAGGGCAACGCTAGCCACTGTGCAGCGTCCCTAACTACAGCAGCATGGAGCAGGGATGGATAGAGCCCTGCGAAGAGCACCTCAACATGATACGTCGCTACGAGGACGACGCTTACATTGAGGAGGTAAAGAGGCGGTTGGTCTGCTATGGCCCAGACCTTTCGAACGAGGTGGTCCACCAAGTAATGCGCCAGTTGAGTGCTGAGAACAGTGCAGCAATGGCCTTTGAGCGACAACTGTGGAGGTTGAGGATATGGACACCTAGTCTCCAGCGGCAGTGCAAGTTACAGGGAGCTGAAGGTGTCGTCCTTCCTCCCCAGCGGCAGTGCAAGTTACAGGGAGCCGAAGGTGTTGTCCTTCCTCCCCAGCGGCAGTGCAAGTTACAGGGAGCCGAAGGTGTCGTCCTTCCTCCCCAGCGGCAGTGCAAGTTACAGGGAGCCGAAGGTGTCATCCTTCCTCCACAGCGGCAGTGCAAGTTACAGGGAGCCGAAGGTGTCGTCCTTCCTCCCCAGCGGCAGTGCGAATTCCAGGGGGCTGAAGGTGTCGTCCTTCCCCCCCAGCAGCAGTTTGTCCTACAGGGAGCAGAGACAGTTGGTCTCTCTCTCCAGCAGCAGGACAATGTTATGGGAGTGGAGACAGGCGGTCTCCCTCTCCAGCGGCAGCCTGTGTTTCAGGGAGAGGAGCACAGCACCCTATCTCCCCAGCGGCAGCTTACCCTACCAAGGGGGGACACCAATCTCCCAGATGGCGCAGAGGGGACCGTGGTCTCTGTGCCTGACCTACAGGGATGCTGGACAGCCTGTCCAGATCCCCAACTACCCTCACAGGGATAACAGGAGGAGGGGGTAAGTACGAATTCCCCTCCCCAGCTAACTCCTAACTTGGCCCCAGGGTTAACAGGGGAGATGTTAACCCCCACTGACCCCCACGTTCCCCTGGCTACTGAGCCGGACTATGTCCCAAGCCCCCCAGCGGAAGAGCTGGCAGCTGGGCAGAGTGCAGTCGGCCTCTGCCCTCCCTTTGTCCCTTGTCCAGAGCCTGATGTCCTGCAGGCTACACCAGCAGAAGAGCTGGCATCAGGGCAGACCACCGCTGGCCTCTGCCCCTCAAGTCCCCGCAGCGTGTTGCCACATCGCCCCAGAGGAATACCCAGGTGCAGTCACTGTTTGCTGTGGGTGGGTTGCTCTAATAACTGTTTGTTGTGGGTGGGCTACTCTGGCACTTGCTTATGGTCGGTGGGTGACTCGACTAACTTAGGCACTGACCGACAGAAAGTCAGGTGCCTGGTTAGTCTTCCCCCCGAAGGGGAGATATGTGACGAAGTGCCCTTCGCCACTTGGTCCTGGAGAGGCCTACTTGCCAGCCTCCTCCCCTGTGACTATGACTCTTTCATGTATCTGGCTTTAAAGCCCCTAGTCTACCTTCAGACAGACTATTTATGTAGGCTGCTTTATTTATCTTATGTTTTAGTCACCCTGTACCCATTATAGGTGCAGGGTGTGTGTAATGTAATTGTTTATAGTGTGTGTACTGTGTAATGTATTGCCTGCTCTCTTGTATTGCTGAGGTTTGCTACCAACTAGGTGGGTTTGGCTATGGAGCTTGTCTAGTGCCCTCTGTTGGTAGCAACAGCAATATGCACTACCTGAATTGCAAGACTGGTTCATTTGCATATTCGGGTAGATTTGCATATTGCTAATTCTGCAGGCAGGTGAGATATTTACTGTTAAATATTGTCTCCCCCCACCCCTTTAAAAATGTGCCATTGTGTTGTGATAAGTCACTGTGTGTTGCTTGATATGGTTTGACTGTTTGTGATTTTATTGAGGTTTCACAACAATGTTATTGTGGTGACCCTATTGGCTGGTCCCAAGGGAAATAAAGGTTTTGACAGTTCTTCTTGATCCCTCTAAATGTAGCCTTGTCTCGTTATTGGAGGGAACTGTTATAATCACACTGGGGATTGCTATGCTCTGCATGCTCCCCTGAGCTTGAGTCACTTAGCTCTTTTAAGAGTTTGTTCCTGACACGCTCTCCTTGGAGGAGGGGTCTTCACCACACAGTCCTGGATGCTGGAGGTTCATACAGGGTGGAAGGAAGAGTTCTTTCCCACACAGTCCTGGAGGACAGAAGCTGATCCAGAGTGGAAGGAAGACGGCGAGACTCCAGTCAAGATACGGCAGTTGCGGAGTCTGGGGTGGTTGCGGTGTCTGCTGCAGTGCTTGGAGTCCTCAGGAAGCACTAGGAGCATCCGTCAACGGAGGGTACTCGGTCGGAGTACAGGGAGCTCCGTTACACAAGCCAAGGTCAGAAAACAGGAAATCCAATACACTGTATAAACACACTCTCAGGTAACAAAAACCACGACAGGGCAAGGAAACAAGGACAACCAGGTAGTATATATACCCTATACTGGGTAGTGATTGGTCACAGAGGACCGGGAATGTCTCAAGCCTGTATACATCATCAAAAAGCTACACATAGGCTGACACAATAAATGGAGACTAATGGGAGGGGTCCACATTATATTTGATGTCATTATACGGTACCAGGAACTTAGGGATAAATGTGTGTGCATCAGAACTCATCAGAATACTTAATTTCTGTGCTCACACAGCGCCGCAAGGGTCAGGTTTTGTGACACATACCAAAACAGCTACACACTCGCATACACACAGCTACAATTCTATTATGCTCAGCAACACACACAGACAGGGCTGCCATCATAAATTTTGGGGCCCCTGACACAGCTCAAGGTCTGGGCCCCCCCGGTGCCTGCACCTGAGTCCGCCCACAGGGATGCAGTGTCTGTACTAATTCTGGTGTGTGTATAGTGGATGTAGAATGTGTGTAGTGGATGCAGAGTTTGTGTGTTAAGTGGATGCGGTGTGTGTTTAATGGATGCAGTGTGTATAGTGGATGCAGATTGTACATTTGTGTAATGTATGAGGTATATATTAGATTCAGAGGGTGTGTTTGTGTAGTGAATGTAGTGTGTGTTTATAGTGAATGCAGAGTGTGTACGTGTGTTTGTGTAGTGGATGTAGTGATTGTGTGTTATAAAATGTGATGTGTATAGTGAATGCAGAGTGTTTGTTTGTGTAGTGGATGTAGTGTGTGTAGTAAATGCAGAGTTTGTGTAGTGGATGTAGTGTTTAGTGAATACAGTGTGTGGATGCAGAGTGTGTCTTTGTGCAGTCGATGTAGTGTGTGTATAGTGACTACATAGTGTGTGTTTGTGTAAGTATTTAATGTGTGTATAGTGACTGCAGACTGTGTGTTTGTGTAGTGGATGTAGTGTGTGTAGTGACTACAAAGTGTGTGTGTCAAGTTACAGGGAGCCGAAGGTG